TGTGGTAGGGATCTATTTAGTAAATCTCAAGGTCTGAACCTTGTCAGTGGCCAAGCTTAGGTTACATAAAATAGAATTGTTATTGTTCTATTGATAGAATGTTATTGTTATAATTTGGTTTTTCTTAAAAATTACTTTGTTCAATCAATAAAATTATGATAGAAGAACATTAAGGTTGTGAAGGCAACCATTGCAGTGAAAGTTAAGAGAAGCCAGATTGAAGACTACTTGTGTCTATGCTATTTAATATACATTATGATACAGGTTTTAATTACATAGCCACTTACTGTTTTCTCTAACTTTGAACTGCCTGATTTTGCAACTTAAACATTCTTTTAGGATCATGCTTCAATGTAATAATGATGTACCAACAAGTATAAGGGATACCTATTATCTGTTTCTATCTTGTCTATTTCTACATGGAATAATCAGAAAATCCCTTACCCTGAGCAGTGTAGAGCTAAGGCCAATAACCAGCTTTATATAAATTTATCTTACATGGACTAGTTTTAGATTAAGATTCATTATTTTAAACTACTTTTCAGATTTCAAACCTTTTTCATAATATCTGTAGCAAGAATATGACCTTTCCCTGTTGGGTATTTTTTGTTTACCTTTTTATTAGTGTTCTCAAGATTTAATTTTCCAGAACTCAAAACTTTTTTTCTATTAATTTCTATTAGTGTGATTCTAAATTATAGTTGAAAATAAATCTGTCTTTTAGGACTAGGGAAAAGGAAATTGATGACTAAGAAATATGTCAAAATATAAATGTGCCTTTTACCAAAGGATAGAAAGGAAAAATCAGCATTCTTGTATACTTAAGTAAGAATATTCTTTTTTTACAGTTACAAAGAACTCAACGGGTGTGTTCTGATAGTGTCCAGGTATTGTCTGGATGCAGATTTCTTTTAAAGGATAACTAGGTATTGAACTAGAAAATATATTATTTTCTTGATAGTTCAATGTAGTCTCAGTAAATGAAGTTTCAATAAAGTTTCTATGATTTTTGTGTTTTTATTAGTGGATAAGGGAATAGGAATGTAGAAGCTTGTTATGAAACATAGTATTTTAGAAAATCATCTAATACACCCATGAGCTATCCATTTGCTTGAACCATAGTTATCTGCAGCTCTTTGGAATCGGTATGCTCAGCCATGGTGAGTCAGGTTCAGCTGTACATTATATCCTACTTACTATTTCCAAATACAACACTGTAGGGATATGTCTCCTAGCCAAACATATGTGGGAAGAGGTGAAGCCCAGAATTTCAACACCCTAAGGAAGTATGCATGTTGTATGCCCACCCAATTTTCATATATCCTGCATCCATTTCCATTTCCACCTACTTCCAGATGAATGTTACAGCAACTTTTGCCAGCCCCTGCAACTTGCCTGCAATCATTCCCTCTCCCTGTGTACTTAAGGCTGTATTAACCATGTGGGGAATGAGAGAGAACAAAAAAGGGCACTTACTATTCATTTTAAGTATGTCAAAACTAAGGTCAGATACCTCAGCAGAGAGGAATGAGAAAAAAACTCACAGATCAAGTCAGCAGTCAGGCAATTATTTTTAAATAGAGTGATGGCAGAGAAAAATTCCCACAAGTCATTTTGGCAGCAGTATTCAGAGTCTGGTTAACTGATTGCCACATGATTTGAACTGAACTACTTATGTGACGAACCTAGTAACCCCCTCTGCATTACAGCTACATCCACAGACTACTCAGCTGCTAAACCCCAGCAGTAGCAGTGGGTGAAGCTTCTATATTGTACCTAAATGCACCTGAATGAGTAGGTTTGAGGTGCAGTATATTTTACAAACCTTTGAAGAATGTTAGTCAAGAAGGGAAATCAGAAAATTCTACTCAAGCACCTTCACTGTCTAAGCTTACATCAGTGGGCTGTTCCACTGGCAACATTTCCCTCACAAACCTATATGTGATATTCACCTTGGGAAAACGACTGACCACCACGGTCTGCTAGGTGTACACAGCTTCAGTACAGCAGTCTTCACACTTAAGCTCATCTTTTTTGTTGTGCTCAGGCTGGTGAAGGTTAAATATTGTTCCTTAATGAAGACCCTGCTAAAGGAAATAAGGGGTTGCATTTTAGCCAGTAGTAGCAGCCATCTGCAGGATGGGGTCCTCTGACTCCATGTTAAGTGTGGTGGTCAGCCACAGCTTCAGGAGTCAGATCCTCTAGTACAGGCAGTCCTCAGACTTAAGACACAATTGGTTCCTGAAAAGCACGTCTTAAGTCAAAGCATCGTAAGTCAGAGCCAATTCCCCCATAGGAACAGTGTTACAAATGGGAGATTGGTTCCTTTAAGATGGTGGATACAGCAGCCTGCAGCTGTAAGCGAGTTCTATTGTGTTGTGGTGGAAGTGGAAGGGGAAGGGAAAAGGCGTGGGGGAGCAGCAGATCAACAACCCCCTGCAGTGAGGGAGGGGCTGGGGTTCGGGCAAACACTGCCCAGCCAAGGCCAAGCAGGCACAGGGAGGTGGAGGTGGAGGCCTCCATCACTGTGAGCTGCTTGTGTGGCCCCTCAACCAGTGGTTTGCACCACTGTCCTCACTGCTGGTCCAGGAGGGCGCAGGGAGGCATGTGCCTCCAGATCTGCGCAGGGTGGGATAGGCGGGCCGGGGCTGCACTGTGGGCAGACGGCAGGGGCTTCGCCAAGCAGACAGTGAATTTTTGGGTGGCTGCAGTCTCCCCATGGACCCTGCTCCACCACCTGCCCCGCCCTGATAAGTAGGCACACAACCCCCACCATGCCCTGCGCCGCCTGCCCAGCTGGGGCAGGGCGGGTGCTGGATAAAGCGGCAGGGAGGCGGGGGCCGCTTGCCTACAGGCAGTACAGCAGCTCTGCTCTATGCCCATCATGCCCCAGCTGAGTAGGCAGTGGCAGGGCATGGGGGGGTTGTGTGCCCGCAGATTGGGGGGCAGGCAGTGAAGCAGGAGCCATGGGGAGGCTGCAGTCACCAAAAATTTACTGTCTGCCCACAGTATAGCCCCAGCCCGCCCACCCCACCCCACGCAAATCCAGAGGCACATGCCTCCCCATGCCCTCCTGGATCAGCTGCAAGAACAGTGACATGAACCACTGGGCAAGCAGCCACATAAGCAGGTCAAAGCAGCAAGCCTCTACCTCCCCTCCTTCTCCCTGTGCCTGCCCAGCTCTGGCTATGCAGTGCTTGCCCAGCTCCAGCCCCAGTCCATTTGCCCCGCCAGCCTCCGGGGGTATGTCGTGTTTAGTGAGCTTCCGCAGGTGGTGGCGGCACTGTTGGTGTCGGGGGGGGGCAGTAACAAGCACCAACCAATGGTTGGCGACCACCTGCAGATGCCGCTGGCAGTGTCGGCAGTGCCTTTTTGCAGGGGGTGCACCACCACGCTCAGAGGGTGCACACACACCCACATGTACCCCCTACACATCGCCAATGCCCCAGTCCTTCCCTCTCTGTGATGTGGTGTTGATCTGCCGCCCCTTCCCTTCCCCCTCCACTTCCACCACAACACAACAGAGCACACTTACCAGTTGCAGGCAGCTGTATCTGCCATCATAAAGATGAAACCCACATTGGAACAACGAAATGGTGTCAATTTATAAATGTTGTAAGTGATGTTTGTTGCAGCTCGAAACATTGTAAGTCGAGGACTGCCTGTACCCTAAATATTATGTAATCTGTTTCACCAGTGTAACATCTGATATGGTAGCATTTTATACCCACTTTATCCTCATTTTGTGCTGATGCAAAGAGCTACACAGGGCAAGGCAGCGATAAATCCAGTCCTAGGCCTTTGGGTAGAAAGGTCAGCTTAAAGAGGCATGAACTTAGTGGCGTACATTTAAAGTGCTGAGAGCTGCATGAGGTGAAAGAAAAAGCTAATACATGCAGTCGGTGGTATTTGGTTGATAAATATATTTTCATTTGACAAGCACAGAAAAATGTTGTTTTAAACAAAAAACCTCTGTGGCTCTAATAATCACATTAAGAGAACCAGAAGTAGGCTCAGCATTAATTTCAGTTGCCAGCCTCACTTAATAATTAACAAAATCATAGTTGTTTTCCTTAGCCTCTCCTAGTTTATCTTCTCACAGTATTTTTAAGCACAAAAATGTATTGCAATCTCCTCAGCTTTTAAATGGCAAAAAGATGCCATTTTGTAATGATGCATGACTCATTCATTGCTCATTATCTTCCTGCTGATATTTTTCCTTGAGCCAGCAAGAAAGTCTTACATGGGAGGAGGGAGAGTGAGTGAGTTGAGGAATACAGTACTTAAATACTATTGCTGTTTTTTCATTGGTTTTCTGTCTTCTTAATGTAACCAGTCTAATCTACTGCTGACTGCTAAAGCCCACCCCTTCACCTCCCCCTTGCTAGACTGAGGTTAGCAGTGTGTCTGTTGCTAGAAACTGACTATATGCAGTATGTGAGCATCTTTCATTCAAAATGGACATCAGTATGTTGAATAGGAAAGAGAGCTTTTAGAAATGCATGATTTGACTAAATAACATGGCTTTCTAAATGGAAGAAGAGGCTCTGGGTTTTCTGATGTTAACACTGACTCCAGTTTTATTTGTATCCAGACCCTTAAGTTTTTTAAGCTCAAATTAGAGCCCTTTTAAAAACCAGAAACAAGAAGAATCTGTCTAGTTAAGTCAGTCTTTTTATAAGTGCAACATCATCATTATGGTCATGTCTTTTTTCCGCATCACTTTAGGTTTCTGAAATGTTCATTTTTGGTTTTTGAATTTAGCTTGATCCACAGAGAGCACAAATCAATATAGGTTTTTGTTTCTCTTTTCTGTCAGTTTCAAAATGCCATCCAAAGAGCCTTGGTCAGGGCAAAAAGCTAATAGATCTGCAGTTCACAACTCAAAACAAGAGAGCCGTCAACAAGATTTATTGATAGCAGCCTTGGGAATGAAACTGGGTTCTCAAAAGTCATCTGTGACAATTTGGCAACCTCTTAAACTCTTTGCTTATTCGCAGTTGACATCACTTGTCAGAAGAGCAACTCTGAAAGAAAATGAACATATTCCAAAATATGAGAAGGTTCACAATTTCAAGGTAAGGAAAAAAGCCTACTTCTTTCTATTTATATTTACAGAAACTGTTTTACTGCTTCTAAAATTGGTTCAGTATTGCAAGTGAGTAGTTTAAAAAAAAAAACTTAAGCATCCCAGCTGAAATCTTGCTAGTTAAGGCAATTAGACCTTCTGAAACATAAATTAGCTGTAAAGTCAGCTGTTGAATGCTTAAATTACATGTATTTGTTTTGATACTACTTACAGTATATAGAGGCACTACTAATTAAAATTATTCAGATACAGAGAGAGGAGGTGTTAGCAGTGAGATATTATGGAAAAGTTCTCTCAATTCTAATTATTTTATTTTAATTTTGATTTGTGTTGCAAGAATGTCAAAAAACCTTTGTTCAATATTTGCTTAGAGGATTAAACAATCTCATTTCCGTTCATTGATGGTAAATAGCTTTGGATATAAAAAGCATGTTCTGTTGCTTCTGGATTGAGCAGATGGTCTGCATTTCCCTTAGTTTCTGGCTTTTCTCCGATGTTAATGAATTGACCGTGATGAAAGGAGCATGGTTTACCATAGGACTGTTGAAGCTAGTGATACTAACTACAACTCTTCATTTGAATATCATTTACTTTCACTTTATATTGGTTCCAATTACTGTTTTAATGTGTGTTTATAAACGATATCCCACTTTCATCTGTTAAGTGATATGTATCAATAAAAAATAAGTATATTAAGTGTGTGCGTGTGTATGCTTATAAATTGTCTCTAAAGTCTTGGAAATTCACCTTTTTGCAGCCAGATACATCACATAATATTCAGCTGTTATATGCAAGACTGTATAAGTAAATTGATTTTGCACCGAATACATTAAGGGATCACACCAACTAAAAGTGTCTGAAATACAGACTTTCTCATATAAAATGCTTGTTTTATTAATCTTCTAGCAAGGGGAAAATCTTGACTATAATAATCTTGACTATAAGAACAAGAAACTCAGACATTCATTTGTATAGTGTTTTTGAATTCCAATATACATAGTTACTTATATTTCTAATAATCAGATACTCTGATTTTATCAAACAAAGCTGCTTTTCAAATTCATAGCATCACTAACATTTTAAACTGTATATGATCACAATCTGTTGTTTGATTTGGGTCCTCCAGTAAAGTATAAATTGGCACACCATGCATAGGAATATTATATAAAAATGTTTTTATATGAACACAGAATCATTCTGTTGTCAGTTAAATCAACAGTATGATTTCATAAGGTGCTGGGTTGTACAGTAATTCTTTGCATCTCAGACTTTTGCCTTATAATTTGAAAATAATCCCGGCACATGATGCTAGAAACTGTCAAACAGCAAGCTTTTTAGTGTTTCTTTCCTGTAAGTCAGCAAGATCTGTCAAGTCTCCTGTATAGCTGGATCCTCTCAACAGAGAATGCTTTCTCTTAACCTTTTGCATATGTTCTTGCAACTTATGGAAACTGTGTAATCCCAAAAGAACACAACTGCAGTTTGTAAATGAAGATAGCCTTTCATGTTGCTGAGACCTAACCTATTAATTGGTTTTAAACCTAAGGCTTTTAACACAGAGCAGAATCAGACTGGAAACTGCACTGTAATGATTTCAGTGGAAAATGGATTGGGCTTTTGGACAACACAAACTTACTGCTAAGTATTTATTCCAATCATATCCCAGAGACGGTATGTACAATCTTGTACACTAGATCAGACAAATAATTGATATAACCATGCCTCGACTGAGGGACATCAGAGTACTTGGGGTCCCTTAACATGCATAATAAAAAGAGAATAAAGTATTCTTTTCAGACTAATCATGAACATTAAGAGGCTATGTCGAGTGGCGTTCTAGATATTTCATGACTCCATATTTCCACATGCAAATACGCCTTCAGACTAAATTAGTGCTGCACTACTTCCCTAAAGTAAGGAGGCATTTGTGTATGTCAGACAGGACTAGAATCACGTTTCCCTGATTTTTTTTTTTTCCTAGGATGCTGCCTTATTTATTTTGTAATGGGTAAAAAGGCCGTCTGTTTCCAAACAATATTTAACATTTTTGTGCAACATTTGCAACTGTTCTACTTTTTTTTGTTGTTGCTGTCCTGCTCCATCTTCTAGAGCTAAAGCTATTGGTTGCAAGTCTGCTGTGGTAAACCTGGAAGAAGCAAGCTAATTTAATCTCTTTCAGACCAAAACTTCATTTCCCTGGGGCACATTTTCCACTGGTTGACTTAGTTTATGTCACTAGAGATGCTAAGGAACATTCTTCATGTGATTCCCTTACATTTAACTAATATTTAGGCATTGTTACAACACTGTTCTTGAAAACTAAATATTCTAAGGGCCAAATACTGCTTTCCTTTACACTGGAGGCAGTGGGTTTGTTCAACTCACTGCTATATGTGCTTTAAAGGCACAGATTTCAAGTGGGTCAAGTCTGTACTAGAAAGGATTGCCAAACTAGCTATACCAACAAACTAGTAGCAAGGCTGTTTGGTGCTACGAAGAGTCCATTTGTAGATATTGATTATCCCAATAGCTGCAAACAAAATAAGCTAAACCAATGTATATTCAATCTTTCACTAGTATGAACATCTCATGAAGAATTGCACTTCTGAATGACATCATACCAAAAAAGGTTTCTAGTGAGGCCTTGCCTTTAGAGTGAAAGGAGTTGAAAGATTCAAGACATCGCACCTACATTGCAGAAAGAAAATAATTGATGGCAGACACGTACGATGTTAACTGACAGCATCTTTTTATATCATGTCTCACTTATTTAGTTTTATTTTTGATCTTTTTGGACTTACAGCCAGATCAGTACCATAGTGGGGGGTGAAGTAGAGAAGGTAAGTGACCAGACCAGCAGCCCCAGGCACTGTCTCACAATGGTGGGCAAGAGGGGGCAGCCAGCTCTGCCCCATACACTAAAGCTGCACAGGGCCCAGAGCTGCTCCGTTACTCCTCTTGGCCAGATTGTGAACAGAGATAAATTTGCCTGAAGCTGTACATCTGGTCATGCCCCTGCAAATAGTTTCAAACCAACTTTTAAACTATTCACTACATTTAAATTAACATTCTCAAAAGAAGCCAAGTGCTTCAACCTTTATAAGAACACAGTGTACTGAAATAAATTGTTGTTACATTTTTATGAACTAAGAGAGCCCTAGGAAATTTGAGGTTTCCTTTGGACACTTAGAACTTTAACAGATTATTCAAAGGTAAAGAAATACCTCCCTCCTATAAAGAAATACCTCCCTCTTCCAACTCTAGAGAGAAGAGTTTTCTTTTAGTAAAGATCTGCAGAGCTTCTATGACAATCTCAAAGGTACTATATGCTCTTGAAACTCATAATGTGCTACTCAGCAGTTTAATGCCATGAGTGTTTGGCTTCAGTGCATTCTCCTCATCTAACGTATTTCTTTAATGTTTCTTTCATCCTAGCTTCTTTTTCAAGGCAGTTTCTTTGTTTGCCATACAACAAATACACCATTTTTGTGTGTTAGATGCTAGCCCTTTATTTCAAGAGTCTTGCTGTTTAAAAACAAACTAGCTGTTTTTTAAATATTTGATACCTGAGGCAGAAGTAGCCTTATATATCCCTATTTGTACATCTCATGGCATGGCTTATGTGTCCCCAGAAGCTGAATAGTTCCTGTATATGGGGAAGCTTAGAAAGGCTCTAATGAGGCAGTCAAGGCGTTTGCCTGAAGGAACGTATATAGTATGTCACAGTCTCTCATCACCACTTACTTTCCTCCAAGTTACCTAGAGCATCATAGCAAAGTAAAGCCCCTTTGTCTGCTCATTCAGAGGAGTCGTAGATGTTTTTTGTATACATGGCTTTAAACATCAATGCGTTCTGCAGTTCTCAACTCTGTGTTCTGTGTTTTTACATGGGCACTGTACTAAGTGATTTGGACCCCGAGTTAAAATGGCACATATATTCTACATCCTAAATGCTAATTTAAAGAAGAATATGCTCTTCAGTTGAAAAAAAATGCTATTTTGTTGATATTTTATTGTTGATTTTTATTGTTATCTCTCATCTCTCTCTATCAGCCCTAAGTTTAGCACTACTTAAATACATTTGCCAGTTGTTCTCATTTCTGTTGATATGTTCAGCACAAACCAGGAAGTAAACAAGATCTGACAGTACTTGGAGTGGATGAAGGCCTGGACATATGTACACCTGCTCAACGTTCAAGTCAGCATACCCAGGTGCTGATAGAAATGCTGTTTCTATTTGACACTGATGATGGTGCAGCATGTCCCCACATTGCAAGTAATACTGGACAAACTTGTTAACACAATACTGGACCAGTCCTGTGCAGTTAACACCAAATCTGATACAATCGTGGCCTAGTCTTGTTTTCAGAAGATGTACGCCGTACTGTTAAGTCTTTCACTTCTGTTCTGTCTTCGTATGAAAGCAGCTATTTGTATGTGTTATTTCCTCTACCCTTCATATCTTCATGACTTCAGTTTCAGATCGCATATGGGTAAAGAGTTCAGGTCTTAGCTATAGAAATTACAGATGGTTAAGTAGTACATATACTTTCTAATACTTGATAAAAGCTCGTGTCACATAGAGCACAGACATGAACAGTGTGGGCTGAGTTCACCATTTAAACTGACATGTTTAAAATGCCTTGGAATACAATATATATGCAAGCATGCAGGTTGATATTGTTGATATTTTACAAAATGTATTCTCTCTTCTACTCTCAATTTTGGCCCTGTTATAGCACTACTTTAATATAGTTTCCATTTGTTCTCATTCCTGATGACATCTGTATGTCTTTGTATTTTATAATATAAAATATTCAAATATATTGTATCCACTTGAAATGGCAGGGGGGTTTCAGTAGGCAAAACTTAATTGTTAAAACCAGAATATAATTGTGGGCTCTGAGCTAACACCTTAGTCTATGATGCTATTGTTGCCAAAAACAATGTAGGATTTTTAATAACTGCACTTCCAGCAGAACAGGACAC